TGTCTTGGTCCGGTTCGGTTCTGTTCTGCTGGGCTGTCGATTGCTCGGATCCTCCCGTCTCTCTTTGTCTGCTCACCGTCTGCTTGTGGCTGCTGCTGCTTCGCTGCTGGGTTGATGAAAACCAGAGAGCGTCTGCCTGTAGCTTGTTGACCGTCAAAAAAGACTCTTGAGCTAACACTTGAATGAAGAAAAGACGATATCTTCAGCTTTAGACATGTTTATTCAGCGAGAGAGATGGACAAGAGGGTCCATACAGCGTGCTGGTTATTGGGGCTCTCTTACAAAGAGGCGCGCTCCCGTCTCGATGCGCGCTCCGGTCGGACGCACGTTCACATTCTTAAAGGCACGGTACATGAAAATACACCACACAGTGAACATATTTCACCATTGTGCTGCTGAGAGCTCCTTCTCCCCGGTCCCAGAGCACCGACAGGAGGCTTCTTCATGCTGCGTCTCTCCCTGCTGCAGGTAGATATCCATCNAGGCTGAACGGCTTCGTGACCGCGCCCTACCAGCAGCTAACCCAGGCAGCACAGACGTCTCTGTGCCGACTAGTGTATGTAGCCACGGAGGAGCCGGAAACACTCATTACCAGAGATGCGCATCTCATACACTTTTTCTTCAAAGTACGCGTACATTTACTCACAAACCGCCAGAGTACACACACTTAACTCTGCGGCGGGCGACACTGTCATAAAAATAACAAAGAACTTAGCAAGGTCGGACACACGAAGAACAATACAAAGACAGAACTCCAGACAATTACACGGAGCCCCACGCTGTTAGCAGTCGACAAAAACCCGCACATGACCCGCTCTGAGCCTCTTAAGGCATTAATCAAATAAAACAGAAGTAATTACGGCCGTGAAAAACCTCCGTTAATCTGATATTAACCTTTTAAAGCTTAACAGGCCTGGATTCGTGACGTCATTAATGTTGTTTCCGGTCCGGTTCGGTTCTGCTGAGCTGTCGGTTGCTCGGACTCTCCCGTCTCTCTTTGTCTGCTCAAGTCTGGTGCTGCTGGCTGCTTCTTCGGCTGGTTCGCTGGAGAATCAGAGGACGTCCTCCTGCAGGCTTGTTGACGGTTATAAAACTCTTAGGCTAACATATGAATGAAGAAAGACGGTAATCTTCAGCTTTGGACATGTTTATTCAGCGAGACAGATGGAAACCAGTCCGTACAGAGTGATGGTTACTGGGGCTCTCAACAAAAGGCGCGCGTCCGCCCCGAAGCGCGTCCACAGTTCTTAAAGAGACAGTACATGAAAATACACCACAGTAGTCATGTTGGTTCAGATGCTGTGGTAGCCATACTGGTTCAGATGCTGTGGTAGCCATACTGGTTCAGATGCTGTGGTAGCCATACTGGTTCAGATGCTGTGGTAGCCATACTGGTTCAGATGCTGTGGTAATCATGTTGGTTCAGATGCTGTGGTAGTCATGTTGGTTCAGATGCTGTGGTAGTCATGTTGGTTCAGATGCTGTGGTAGTCATGTTGGTTCAGATGCTGTGGTAGTCATGCTGGTTCAGATGCTGTGGTAGTCATGCTGGTTCAGATGCTGTGGTAGCCATGCTGGTTCAGTATGCCTTCAATTTTGAATAAATCCCAAACAGTGTGACCAGCAAAGCACCCCCACACCATCACACCTCCTCCTCCATGCTTCACAGTGGGAACCAGTCATGTAGAGTCCATCCGTTCACCTTTTCTGTGTCACACAAAGACACAGTGGTTGGAACCAAAGATCTCAAATTTGGACTCATCAGACCAAAGCACAGATTTCCACTGGTCTAATGTCCATTCCTTGTGTTCTTTAAACCAAACAAGTCTCTTCTGCTTGTTCCTGTCCTTAGCAGTGGTTTCCTAGCAGTTATTTTATCATGAAGGCCTGATTCACACAGTCTCCTCTTAACAGTTGTTCTAGAGATGTGTCTGCTGCTAGAACTCTGTGGCACTGGCCTGTTCTCTAATCTGACCTGTTCTCTAATCTGACCTGTTCTCTAATCTGAGCTGCTGTTAACCTGATCTGTTCTTTAATCTGAGCTGCTGTTAATCTGTCATTTCTGAGGCTGATGACTAAGATGAACTTATCATCTGTAGCAGAGGTGACGCTTGGTCTTCCTGTCCTGGGGCGGTCCTCATGTGAGCCAGTTTGTAGTGCTTGATAGTTTTTGTGAATGCACTTGGGAACACTTTCAAAGTTTTCCCAACTTTTCGGACTGACTGACCTTCATTTCTTAAAGTAGTGATGGCCTCTCATTTTTCTTTACTTAGCTGCTTTTTTCTTGCCATAATACAAACTCTAACAGTCTATTCAGTAGGACTATCAGCTGTGTGCTGTATCCACCTTCTGCACAACACAACTGATGGTCCCAAACCCATTTATAAGGCAAGAAATCCCACTTATTAAATCTGACAGGGCACACCTGAGAAGTGAAAACCATTTCAGGTGACTACCTCTTGAAGCTCATCAAGAGAATGCCAAGAGTGTGTGAAGCAGTAATCAAAGCAAAAGGTGGCTACTTTGAAGAACCTAGAATATAAAACATATTTTCAGTTGTTTCACACTTTTTTGTTAAGTATATAATTCCACATGTGTTAATTCATAGTTTTGATGCCTTCAGTGTGAATCTACTGTATATTACTGATTTTGTGATGTCCAGAGACAAAAACAAGAACATAAACTATCTGCACTTCTGCAACAGTTCCATTTTTAATATGTTCTACATCTTTACACATGGAGTACCATAAATTGTCCTCACATTGTTACATATGTCAGTAGCATCAGAGGTATTTGTAATGTTGCGGGGATCCCCTTGGTGGGGGGTCTGGGGGTCCTCCCCCAGGAAAATTTTGAAAGAAGTAGTAGTTCTGATGTATTTTAACGGGTTGTTAAACAGAGTTTTACCTACATAGGAAAACTCTTGGTGTGAGTATTCTATGAATGAAGCGGAATAGAAATAACACTGGGGAAAGTAATATTTTATGGTAAATGTGGGTGTTCAAATGAATTGAAGTTTAAATGTGATCGGAAACTTCCCTTCACAAATGATTGCTGTGATGCCTGTCATTTTATTTAAAAATCTCAAAATATATATTTTAAAGACATTTACAAGGACCAAACATTCTCAATTTTAAAGCCACCTTATGTACCTGTGTTAAAAGTTTTATTTGCTTGTTTACTTTTGTGAAGAAAACTGTAACTATAAATACACAAAACTGGAAATAAAAACTAAAACAAGTACTATAACAAATCACATCTACTGTAGTGTTATCCCAAACTATTAAGTTATTTGCTTTTTTATGACACATTAGTTTTAATAAATATGATTTTGGTCCGTGAGAGAAAACTGGAGAAAATTCACACATGCACAGGGAGAACGTGTAAACACAACCCAGAAAATTATTCTAGCATTCTTCTTCCTTACAGGCAATACAGTATGTTGCTCTACCAAGTGTGCCACCGTACTGCCTAATTTTATATTTTTAATATAATTATTTTAATTATTTAATTTATATTTATCAAAAGTATATCTATGAATAATAACCTCCGAGAACTTCCAATCCTTATTTGAGAACATTTGTTTTAGACTGGTTGTCCAATTCAGAGG